GGACATTGACACAGAAAACAGAAAGACTTTCAGCTGTATGGATGGTGGTAAATATATTTAAAATGTCCTCATTTCCTTGTAAAGGCAAATCAGAGGACTTTTGCTTCTGATAACATGGAGCATGTACTGGTTTTGTAACACACTTACTGTGACAGTGTGCTCTGCTGCTCAGTAAATCATTGGTACTGCAGGCACTGGAAGCCCATGCTGAATTTGAATTTGGAACTGCAGTGCCACTACCACTGACCTGACTGGTCATTCCATTTCTTTTTAAACCACCTCCATGTGATGATTAAGACTCTGTTTATCTAGAACTCTTTGCTGCTTAAGTAATCTGTGCCATTTTTTTAATTCCACTTACGAATGGCTTATTTTTTTTTTAATTTTTGTGAGCTAATTGTCCAGAACGGCTTTTTTTTTTTTTTTCCCCCCAACAACTGCATTTCTTTCCTGGAGCATAGATTGCCCACTTTGTTTATTTATTAGTATTTTGGAAATAGTAGACTTAAAAATTCATTGTGTAAGCCTTCTGCATTGTTTTCACTTTGTATTACTTGTAAAAATGGCTTTGTTTGCTAGCAGGGTAGTGAGCTACTCTGAAGAAGCTCACTGTGTGAGCACACAATTGTGACACAAGGATTCATGCAGTACAGCAGGTCTGTAACTGTTTTCTGGCTGGCAGGTCATGGTATGCTGCAGTGAAGGCTGAGTTGTGATGTGTAAGGGCATGTGTAGGCAGTAGCCAGTTAAGGTTTCCTGAGCCATTCAGATTCCATCTACAGCATATAAGACATTATTATTATCCTGGCAACTCTCCTTTGCCAGTGTTGAACCATAAACTTTGTCAGTAGCAAAATTGCAGATACAAGCCTAGGCTGGGCTAAAACTGGCTTTGAGTGCTATGGACTCAGTGATGTTGCCTTTTATATGCTGTACGTGCAAATTAGTGAAAAAACTTATTAATGGGAGATTTATTTTTTTTGGCTGAATATTGACACGAAGTTACCAGACTGGGATGTGTTAAAGTACTTTTTTGCTTTCACAGAGCAGTTAATTCTTAGTTCAGTGATGCAGCAGTTGCTGGTGGCATGTTAAATATGAATTCACACAGTGTCTCTCCCAACTGGCTTCCATGTAGGAGCAGACGACTCGGTTTTATCTGAAGATCGACTGAATGAAACTGAACTAACTGATCTGGATGGGCAGCTGGAATCCCCTCCCAAAAACTTCTTGTCTGTAGAAGAGGACAACAACATGCGCCATTCCCACAACGACGTCTCACGTGCTGCTCAAGAGCATGACCTTCATGACTCAGAGTATGACAGCCATGGAGAAGATAAAATGATAGCTAGAAAACACAGTCACCACTGGCATCACAAACATTCCCATCACTCCCATGGCCACTGTCATTCTGGAAAAGACCTGAAAGATACTGGGATAGCTAATATTGCTTGGATGGTAATTATGGGAGATGGCATTCACAACTTTAGTGATGGCTTAGCAATCGGTAAGCAAAAGCACTGAGTCTTTCTCAACAGTTTCTCCTTACCTTTAGTAACTCTGGTAATATTTTCCTGATCAGTGATCATAGGTAAGGCTTCATTTAGCACCTGTGGTTACTGGCATTGTTTAATCTCCTTCAGGGCAGAAATTAAAAGGCTGTCAGTTGTAATAGTTACTGCTTCGTTAATATTTTGTGCTGTATTGGTACAGTGACAGTAGCAATCTCTTTGCCAGGTAAAGATAGGTGCAGACAAACCTCTTTGTGATTTATGGAGCACAGTAATGCACATTTGTTGTTTGGATCTTAGTATTTGCCTTTGAATTATAAGTAAATTCAATCTTATTTTCAATGATATTTATTTATTATAATAATAATAATATTTCTATTATTGTTAATACATAGAATTATACTTGTAAATAAAAATACACTATGAGACAGGTTACAGAAATCCTTTTTTTCAAGTACTATTTAGGATAATTTAATTTTTGTTTAAGCAAAGTTTGGTTTTTGCTTATGGTCAGTATATATTTCTAGCCTAGTGCAGAACAAATTGAAGTACCAAACAGATTTTATTAGATTTACGAAATCAACTTTGATTCGTGTAATGCTCTAAATGTGATTTTAGCTGCATTAGCTTGAATACATCATACAAGTCAAAATGACAAAGTACTGAAGTGCCTACTTCTAATTTTTTACTTAAGTAGCTGCTAAGAATACAGAGGGTTCTGAACTACTAGCAGGAGGAACACACATTTTGAAGGATGAGGGATAAGCTACTTATTAGGGCCTGTAGTTAACAATGGAATCTACTACCATTTCTCCACTTTCTCAAAACAATTTCTAAAGAAACTAAATTCCTTAAAAAATAACTTTTTGCTTCATTTTCATATTAAAAAGGTAAGACATTTAGACAGTGGTTTCTAAGGCCAAAAGGATTACTGTGACTACTGTTGAGAACTTCACTGTATTGAAACTCCATTTCTAAATATTCCTGTGTCAAGTCCAAACAGCTGATTCTTTGGTAAAATTTAGATTTTAGAAAAGCATGTTCATAATTTTAGTGTATCAGGTTATGAGTAATCCAGAGGAAAGTTAAATTTCCCCTCTGTCTTCAGGTTGTGTCTTCTCTTTCTGCTTTATGTTGCCTGTTTTGACTGCTCACTGCAGGCTCTTTTTGTGCTTTTCTCTGCTACAGTACAGAAATTTAGTACCAGTTTTCTCATCTCAGAATTATTTAAGGTATGAACTTAAAGTTAATTGAATTAAATTAGCTTATGCAAAAGTTACTGAAAGACATTTATGGCAATGTTTTTATCCATATTATTTTCCAGGTCTGGCTTATTAATATTGCTGATATGTGCTCTACATATAAGCAGAAAGGAACTAAAGAGGTTATGAGTTAAATATTAGTTTGGATTTCCAAGCTGGAAAGGAGAGGTTTAGACTTTTGCTTATGTCCTCATAGACTGGAGAGTTCCTAAAAATGTAAAAGTGGTGCTATTTATTAGCTTGTTGCCTTTATGTGTCTGTTTTGGTCAGTTGTGATCTCCTCTCCCAGGATTTGTCTTTCAGACACACTGAGTAATAAAGCATGCAGTGGTGATGCACATCCAAGATACTTGCAGTACTTCCCATTTATATATGGACAGGGCCTAGACATACTGAAAAATGTTAGAGTATGCATTCTAGCAGAAGGTTGTCATCTCTGGAAAGTTCGTTGATTTTCTGACTTGAAAATAGTGAAATATCATTTTAACTTATTTTTCTTTTTTTTCTAGGAGCAGCTTTTAGTGCTGGACTGACAGGAGGAATTAGTACATCTATAGCAGTATTTTGTCATGAGCTTCCCCATGAATTAGGTAACTAAGTCTAGAAACTCAGTCTTTTCATCTGTACAAAATATTTGTCTAGAAGCTGTTGTGATACTCGCTGTGATAAGCACAGTGCAGTGCAGATGCCACAGGGGTGACCAGAACTTCAGTGGAAGGGAGCAGTGTTGCTCCAGAGTACATAATGGTGCAGGATTATATTGGCAGGTATCTACTTACAGCAGTTCTGTGAAGCTTTTTGAACACATTTTAAAAAGCGTTCTTAGTACATTTGACATTTTGGTGTTATACCTCTGCATTTTATAGAGAATTTCACCCTACTCTGTGTGGCCTTGTCTTACACAAAGTTAACTTACATAAGTAAACACAAGTTTGCATATTACAAAATTGTGCTAGGTTGAACTGTGCATGCTCTTACAGCTTGCTTGCTTGATGAACTGCTAGCTCTGAATGGTCAAAAGTGAGGTAAAACAAGTACTTCAAAAACCCTTAGAGGTGATGAGTGAAAGTATTTTATATAGGCAGCTACTGAGCTGTAGGTGAGTAGTGGGCACAGATGGGAAGTAATGCAGCAGATGTTCATGGTTTGACATCGGTGCTGTACAAGCATTAGTTAAGTGAAGCTGCTGCAGTATATAAAGGATTGCAATGTATATTGGTGTGCTTATAACTTGATAACATAACATGATTAAATTAACCCTATATAAGAGGTGAGTAGTTTACTGTACACATTTTTTATTTTTTTATTTTGATATGCTTTGATTCTAGACCAAGTGATCTATTTCTAGCATCTGTAACATGAGGATATTTTGTTAATTACCTTCATGACTGTATATCATCTTAGACTTCTGATATTCACAAGAATTCAGTATGAATGGAGTAAAATGATCAGAGCTGATTACAAGACAGAAATCTAGATTTTTATAGAATGTCTGCCTCTATCACCAATTTTAGCAGAGCAGTCCTGAATTCAAAATAAAACAAGTTAACATGGCATGTCTTAAACTAGAAGACTGATTCAGCATGATATAAAGTCATTCTTTCTAAATGTAACTCTTCCTTTCTCTTGTGCTCAAGTTCAAATAACCTTCTGTGGGGACTAGTGCCTTGTTATCCTCTTCCCAAATTTGCAGGATGAGGTGTATATATCTAAGAGGAATTTTCATAGGTATTGATAAAAACTAAGCCTCTGGTTTTATGTGCCATGAAGAACTTCTGTGAAGTAAATTACTTGGATGCAGTACTGGAAGGGATACTAAGCAGGTGTACAGATGACACGACAGTGGGAGGAGCTGTTGACTCCCTCGAGGGCAGGGACGCCCTGCAGAGAGACCTGGACATATTAGAGGACTGGGCAATCACCAACCATAGGAAGTTCAACAAGGGAAAGTGCTGGATTCTGCACCTGGGATGGGGCAACCCCGGATGTAGGGACAGACTGGGGAATGAGGTGCTGGAAAGCAGTGCTGGGAAAGGGACCCGGAGGTCCTGGTCAATGAGAAGCTGATCATGAGTCAGCAGTGCCCTGGCAGCCAGGAGGGCTAACTGTGTCTGGGGGGGGCATCAGGCAAAGCATCGCCAGCCAGTTGAGGGAGGGGATTGTCCCGCTCTGCTTTGCACTGGGGCAGCCTCACCTTGAACACTGTGGCAGTTTTGGGCACCAAAGTACAAGAAAGATATTAAACTATTAGAGAGTGTCCAAAGGAGGGCAGTGAAGATGGTGAAGGGCCTTGAGGGGAAGCTGTATAAGTAGCGGCTGAGGTCACTTGGTCTGTTCAGCCTGGAGAGGAGGAGACTGAGGGGAAACATCGTTGCAGTCTCCAACTTCCTCATGAGGGGAAAAGGAGGGGCAGACACTGATCTCTTCTCTGTGGTGACCAGTGATTGGACCCAAGGGAAGGACCTGAAGTTGTGTCAGAGGAGGTTTAGGTTGGATATTAGAAAAAAGTTCTTCCCTCAGAGGGTGGTTGGGCACTGGAACAGTCTCCCTAGGGAAGTGGTCACAGCCCTAAGCCTGACAGAGTTCAAGAGGCATTTGGATAATACTCTCAGGCACATGGTGTGACTCTTGGGGATGGTCCTGTGCAGGGCCAGAACTTACACTCGATGACCTTTGTGGATCCTTCCAACTTGTCTTATTCTGTGATTCTGTGTGTTCTCTGTGGGAGGACCAGATCTAGACTCCTCCATTCACCCTTCATGATTAATCACTATTACCTTTCTGACAATCAACATGACGAATAGGCACCTTTAAATCATATTTTAATCAAGGGATTGCTGTGCATACAGTTCTTACAAGAGTTGTCATTTTCTGTTTCTCAGTCTGACTTTGAGCCTCTGTAGCAGCATTTTTACTTTGGCAGTTCCTTGGATTGGTGAGTGTAAGCTAATTTATTTACTTCCTCTCCTGAGAAGCACTGATGCCAACCCCCTGTGTTCTGTCCCTGTTGCAGGTGACTTTGCTGTGCTCCTCAAAGCAGGTATGACGGTAAAGCAGGCCATTGTGTACAACCTGCTGTCAGCCATGATGGCATACATCGGGATGCTGATCGGCACGGCCGTGGGGCAGTACGCCAACAACATCACCCTCTGGATCTTTGCCGTCACTGCTGGCATGTTCCTCTACGTGGCCTTGGTGGACATGGTAAGGTTGGGGTGGTGCTGTGGCATTTTTGCATTCCATGCATTAAACCTAGGACTGCTGTGGCTGGACCACTATGTGCTGGAGATTAGCCTAGTGGTCAGGGTTATTCTGCACCAAAATTTAATCTTTGTATATTCTGGGAAGGTCGGTACGAACCTTTGGCGTGAGCAGCTGCTAATATATAGTTCTTGTGGTGATGAGCTTTTAAAGAAGTTATCTTGTGGGAAAATGCTACTGCTTCAGGAACTTATAGGTACATTACCTTTAGAGTGTGTACACCACAAGTCCAGATCCTTCAGGCAAGTGTTGTGCACGTTATCAAAACATATTCAGACCTGATTTCTCTCCTAAGCAGCTTCAGAGCTTTATTTAAATAAGCCAGTTGCCTCGCTTCTTGTCTTTCCTAAGCCTAATGATGATGAAATCATTTTCCACTTTTGGGGTGTTTTGGGGTATAATGCTCTTCAATTCATTATTGAGACTTTAATTTATAAATATCCTCTAGTTACTACAGTAACTCAGTTACTCTATTAATAGGTAAATAAGTTCTTTTCAGGGCTTGCTAAATCGTTAAATGAAACATCTGCATAGAGGGATCCTTCTTGCAGCTTGCAACTTCAGTAGCCTATAATTACTGGACTATCACTTGCGTATAAGTCCCGTGGCTGATATTTATTTCCTGTGCTTTGTTTGACTGAAGATATCATGTAGAAAGGAAGGCAGGATTTTCATTCCTTTTTCTTTTCCTCAGTCATCATAGTAGCAACCAAATAGTCAAAGCCCAATGGTCTGACTAAACAAGAGCAGCAAAGCTTCTGCAAGGCACACGTGAAACTGCTCCAGATTCTTGTCTTGATGTTTCCATAATCTGCTTCTTCTCAAAGGTCTTGTTACCTTACACACAAGAAGAATAGATTTTGATTCCTCCAATGCTGTCAAAGCAAATATCCAGCAGTTTTAAAACCCCTTGTAGTAATGCTAAGGTGAAGCCTTTTTTTTCATCCAGAGCATTTTCCACCAGATTTCAAAAAAAAACATCTGTGACTTCTCTGAACAATTTCTTTTTCATGCCTGCCCAGCTTCAGAAGTTCTGTTCGTACCTCCCAGAGCTACTGTAGCATTGCAGGGACAGCAGAGCTGAAGCAGCCCTGTGTCCAGCAGTTGGGCAGTGCCTCTTCACCAGGTGAATGTCAATATGCAAGAGGTTCCTACAGTGCTAATGTGTGTGTGGGCTACATCTCAAAGATGGAAGGAGGGTGTTATTGCCGGTAAGAAGTTCTTGCAGTGCACAGCCTCTTTCCTCCCTCTTCTCAGAGTCTTTCCAGGATCCTTTTTACTGTCAAATAAGTATTTTAAAGACAGCAATGGAGGGCAGTGTGCCCGTAGTACTGGTTACTGTTAAATAATATTTTTCTTTTTATCGTGAAGGGGAGGGGTCTTCTACTTGCTGTTCAGTGCCACAGTTTGGGGAATACATGAGTGCTGCCACTACCTTAGATAAAACTTCCACTTCTACTCATCCTATTCTCCCTTTTCATGTCCATGACTGGAAATGGAGACAGAGTCCTGTGCCCTTCCTAGGTTTTGAAACAGTTACCCGAGTATCCTTTCATTATTCTCAAGAACATCCTTAGATTCAGAACAGCAATGTTCTTTCTCTGTAGAAATTACAACTTCTACAGAAACATGTACAGAAACCTCCATTCAAAAAACATGAAGGTGAAAATTGACAGCAGCAATTCCACCACAATTCTCTAATTAGTTTTTGTGTTACTTGGTGAAAACAACTCTGGTTTATTAAAAATAAAATAATTCTGTAACAAATCTTGCCTGCTAGCATGACAACTGCTGTAGTAGTGTAAAGTCAATGATTACTGCATTTATTTTGATGACTTAACAGTGCTTTGTAATTCCGTATAGTGCTTACTGTTAAGCTGCCTGGTCTATTAATATGTATTGTCGTGTAATTGTCAATTGGTATGTATATGTAGTGTGTCATTTTTCACGCCAGTTCAGGGTTTTATATTTAAATAGTCAGTGAGTCAAATTAATTGTCAGGTTATGTGTCTTTTAGAAATACAGACCAGAAGGGTGTAACATATTTGGGTTTTTAGCAGCTTTGATATCATTTTCTCTGCAGAATTCAGGTATTCAGAATAACAAAAACTACTCTAGCCTATCTAACGAAGAGCAATAAATGGACTTGTGCTGTGTACTACCTGAAGTTTCCATTTTCTTCTATAGTATCATTTCTCCGTACCTAAGTGTATCTTGAAGGAATTCCTTTGTTTTTACCTACTGCTTTTTTCAATTAATTTCTTTGTAAACATGCTATTTCTCTTCTTTGTATGCTATTTTTACATCTTCCAGGTCCATAATTATTTGTTGGTTTTGTCAGTACTCTTTGACTTTTCTTCATAGGTGAGGAACAAAAGGATTAGCCAGAACTTTCATAATTTCTTATAGCTTCACATAGAATTTCTCTTTAATTGCCTGTAGCTATTATTCCCATATTATAAAGGGATGTGTATATGCATTTAATATGACAAATAAATGGCTAAGTTAATCAGCAAAGTCATTATAAATGGTATATTTATAGCAATGTAATTACTGTAGAAATAGGCAAAGCTTTTTATTACGTTTACTTGAGCGTGACAATTTTAATTGAGTAGAAGTACTCAAGAGAGCAGAACTGCTGGGCTGGTCCTTATCTTGAGGAACTTAATGTTCAATTAGATGTGTGATCCAGTAAAACCTTAAGAAAGAAAAAGCCTAAAGGAAAGTGGGTTTTAGTTTCTTTTGTAAAGACATGATATGATCGTGTTTTTATTGACTGTAGTGGTTAGGTAGAGTTTAAGCTATGTCTTAGTGTGTTGTTTTGTAACTGAACTCTGGAGTGTTTATTCTTGACAATATCATCTTGTAAACTTGTTCATGTATAAATGGAAGAGAGGTGAAAAAGCTTCCTAAATTGTTTTTTTTTTTCCTTTAAGCTTCCAGAAATGCTTCATGGAGATGGAGATAATGAAGAGCATGGCTACTGTCCCGTGGGGCAGTTTGTTCTTCAGAATCTAGGCCTGCTTCTTGGATTTGCCATCATGCTGGTGATCGCCCTCTATGAAGACAAAATTGTGCTTGACATCCAGTTTTGACCTAATTCTGGTAATCACTGTGGTTACAATAACGTTGCTGTATGGCTTTGAGTCTGCACTGTTTCGCTGTATGCACATTGCTCGGAGGAAACGCGGTGGCTTGCACTACTTACACAAGTACAGGACATTCATTTCCACCTAGATTAACTAATGCTTTTTTCTAATTCAAATCAGATGAGGTCACCCAATGCAACTTCTAAACTCGAGCGATCAACACCTAGGAAACACAAAATATGAGAAATAAAGGCCAAGTTCAGTGTACTATAATAGCGAGCACTGCTTGCTTAAGAAAGAAGAAGTACAGTGAATGATCTTCATATTTGGGAAAAAAACATTTCATTGGTACACCTGGACAGAACCCAGAAGATGTTACAGCTAAAACTCAAACCTCTGCAAGGAACCCGAGCAAGCTTTTAGTGCCACCTAAGTCCTGAGTAGTGCGTATATGTATCTATATATGTATAGATCTATGTAGATATATACAGATATGCATACATATATATGTGTGTGTGCGTGTGTGTATATATATATATATTAATTCTGTGCTGATTTTTCTGCATAGTGGTGACTTGAAATATTAAATTTTACAGCAGGACATGACTGGAAACCACTATGCCAATTTAAATTTTTAAAAAGAAACCCAAAGCCTAAACACTGTTTAAATTCTTACAAGACTTGTTACGCTCACTCCATCATTCCAATCCTGTGTAAGAAGGCAGGCTGTTGCCATGTACTCTGACTTCTGTTGAGGGTCAGTTTGATGATCTTCTTCCCAACTAAGATTTATTTGATGTTTGTTCCTTGATATTAGTAGGAAAACGCAAAATGCAGTAGAATTAGTGTTAGCTTGGGAAATCCCTGACATTGGAGTTATTGAGCTATTTCTGGTTCTTTCTTACAGATGCTAAACATGTATTGTGTGCCACTTGCAGCATAAACTACTGAAGAATTGTGGCTGTGAATTTGTGCAAACTCTTTTAACAAAGAATCCATATGGGAATTTCTCCATTTTTTAAAAACTATTATTTTGAACTATGTTCTCCTCTTCATGTTAAAACAATCCAAAGTTCAAGATGCTAGTTACTGAACCTGGGCACAAAGGTTAAATTATGCTCTGTGTATGTTGTACTGGTAGGTTATTTACAATACTGTAATAGCAGATCAAATGTGTTTCTACAATGCCTTGTTATCAGACATTGCAACACCAGCCATTTCTGGCAGTAGAGAGTATGTAAGAAGATTTCTACTTCCAGTATAAAGGAGTTCATTTCTAAGATATTTTTTTACAATTTTGGTATTTAAATTAGATTATTAAAAAGCAGATGTGGTAGAACAGTGGTATGTGTCATTCGGAAGAATAGACTGAAACTTTGGGCCTTAACTTGCTGGGACCAGCTGTCCTAGATCAGATTGTGCTGATAAGCGTATATTGCCAGACATGAGTTAGTTCTTCTTGTACCCTTCTCCTTAAAAAAAAATTGTGAGTTTGTGAGGAGCGCAAGTTGATTCTGTAGTACCACTCCTAAGCATGGTAGTAGGTTTTTTTAAAACATACCGTTTGTCTATTTTATGTGTATGCCAGGTAAAAGCTGTATTTTGACTACGTGCCGTAAGTTTTGTTTCGGTCTGCTTGGTGCCAGTGTAGCTGCTAAGAACACTGATCCTAACGCCTTTAATGAGAGCCAGTTGGTATCTTCATTCCATTTCAAGTTAATGTGTTTCCTGTGGCCCTTTACTTTTGAAGCTTCATTGGTCAGTTTAGCTTTTACTGAGAGCAGCTCATGTATTTTAAAGTAAACGGTCAGTTGCCAGTATTTCTTCCTAAATCAGTATCAGGAAACAGTATTAAGGGTCCATTTCAAAGAAGGGTGCAGTTTCTTCAGTGAAGAAGCCAAAAGCCCAGAGTTCAGGCAGGCAGCCATTTAATGTTCTGAACTCAGGTTTTATTTTTTGCTCTTTAAACATAGAATCATATAATCAGCCAGGTTGGAAAGGACTTTTTTTTTTTTTTTTTTTAAATCCATTCCGTACTCCGGCAGAGATCCAGTCCGGGTTCTCCCAAATTCCATACTCCGGAGAAAATGTAGTCCGGGTTTTCTCCCATTCCATACTCCGGTGGAAATCCAGTCCGGGTTTTCCCCCATTTCGTGCTCCAGCCGGAAAATGTTTACTGTTGGACCCTAATTAGCAAACACACTGTTGCTAGCTTCAGATTCCTGGATTTCTCCACTCTAAAGCTCCTGGGTGACATTTTAGCATAGTTCTCATGTTTGGGCAATGAGTACCATTTTCAAAGAGGCTTTAACTCACTGGATACCTTCTGAGGATCTAAGTTTATACAATCTGTGTTTCTTATATATTAAACTGACTTAGTTTTTCTTTTCTGTTAATTCTGTCAAGTATAAGGGGGTCATTATGCAGCTGAACTGATGTTTTGTCAAATTGTTTTTTAAAGCTTATTTCTCTTCATTCTTTTCAAATGAAGATTTCTGTATTTCAGGTAGTATATTTACTTTTGTATTAGTTGGAATATGGGTATAGCTTAATACACTGCCTCTGTAGGAAAATAGTTAACTTCCTTCCAAGACCATCTTCAGACAAGGGAAAAACATGGTCACTGAAGGTAGGTACTGTATTTTTCATGGAATATAGGTTGTTTACTTTTATTTTCTAATATTTATTGCAGATGTAACAGAGCAGTGTAACAGCTGTGATTCCTGTATGTTTCCGCCAGTATTGAATTCCAAAAGATCCTAATGTACTCTTGTGTTACAGACAATCTGAATTCCACTACATTTCTACTTGGCTTCAACATTCCATTTTGCTTGAATCCAGAGTCTCATTTAACTTGTATTTGTTGGAGGGCATAAATGCTACTTGTATATTACAATGCTGTCACTGTGTGACATCCCATTTGAATTTTGATGTAAATCACATTGCACTCAATCCGCTGTGATTATGCTTAGAAAATGTTGTAGTTGCTAGATGCAGTGTGATTTTTTTTATTATTATTTTTTTTTATTATTTTTTTTTCCTCTCCCCGTTAACAATTGAGTCTATGGTTTAAAATGTGATTATGGTCCAATAAGATAACTTGCTGAGCTATTGGTCTTTTTGTTACAACTAGATCATTTTTTAAGATTTTATAAAGCTGGAAATGATCAAATGCTGTTTTGTTCATTGTCAACAGTGTTGTGTTCATTTTATGTATGTTCCTTATACGTAAGGAGCCTTCAGAAAATAAAAGCTATTCAAGGAGCAGATATTTTTGTTGGCTTTTATAAGGTTTTGTTGTGTACTTCTGTATTTTAGTATTCTGTTACAAATCTCATGAAAGGCACAAATGCAACATTGTAAAAAAAACCTCACTTTGATTTCTCTTTTTATGTGGCATTTCAGGACGGACATGCATTCCTTATAAGTGACCTGGAAAATGCCTCTACCTCCCAAAATTGCAATAGGTTTATGAGTTAAGATGACACAATAATGCCCTGTCTGACCCGGTGTTCTCGTGGTTTGCCTGAAGGGACAATGACAGAGTTGGTGGAATGGCCTGTAGCTGACAGGAACCCTCTTCTCTCGCTGGTCTTGTACACTGAGGCCAGGGAACTTGGTCACTGTGGAATGTCTGCTCTCTTGCATGGCTTCAGCCGTGTCTGCAGCAAAGAATAAAGCAAAGTATTGGCCAAAGTATTTTTGTTGGCAGGGGTTTTTTGTTTGCTTTTTAACAGATAGCTCTGAAAACTTCTTTCTTGTTTCCTCTTTCTTAGCAGATTGCTTCCACTCCCAAGATACACAACACTAAACTTCTCATCATTATTGTTATTATTAGCAGAGGATTCCCAGCTCTTCTCAGACACTAATTTCTATTTTGACATGCTTAAAACACTTACAGAGCTGATCCCAGTCATCAATGATCCTGCCACTATAATTGCATTCTCCAGTCATATAGTGAAGAACATCAGCTGGCACCTCCTGAAAGAAAGCCAGACAGTGATTTGAGCAGCAGCCTAGCAATTCTCTGGGCAGCATATCCCTATCACTGTAATTTACTTGGAAGTCATCCAGAATTCTCACTGGAAAGTTTAAAAGCTGTTAATTACTTCTGCTAGTTCATGCTTGAACCATTTGATCTGCAGTTCTTCAAATAACCATCCCTCAAGTCATCCAGCACTGCTGCTTTTGAAGAATAATAGCACCAAAAATTTCCATAGTAATGCAGCTAGAACTCCCCTGAGTACAAGTTTATGGAAAAATCTTCCCAAATTATCTCTACTTGTTTGGCATATTTATAAAATAAATGTATGCTGTAACAGGGCCATAGGTATGATCATAATTATTATTTTTTTTTTTTTTTAGAAAATCAAACATGCTTAAAGTCTTGAGGTTGGGAGAAACTGGACTCCTCTTAGGTGCATAAAAAAGAACAAATTATGAGTGATAACAGGGAAATTATTTACAGAAAGTCAAGGCAAGAGTGAGTGATACACTGAGAACTGGAATGAGGAAAACCGGTCAAAAAAGGTACCAAGAAATGTTTACTACATAGAAGTTATTATCTTTAAGGGAAGGAAACCAAAAAAAGCCTCCCTCCCTGGTAGAAAGTGTATTTGCTCCTAAGCTCTGGTCATAGGACATCCCCCTAAGAACCCACCTCCCTCTCCCTCCCCACGCTCTCCATCAGGAATGAAACACACAATTCCACGAAGCTGCTTGAATCACTTTCCTATTAACCATGTTATTGCTTGAATTTGCCTCTTAACCACATTGATAACCAAAATAACTGCAGGCTGACAGTGGTTTGAAAATAACACACACACACACACACCCCTTCCTATAGTGGCTGCTTAGGAGGCTGGAGTGTGAAGAAGTGCCATGTATTGCTAATAAATTCCAGAGAGGGCCTCTGTGAAATACACCTGACTCTGCAAACAGGGAAGGAAATGCTGTCTGCCAAACTTACACAAATAGATCAAGGTTCTCTTTAATCTGAAACAGTCTGGTATTCTCCCTGTCATTGAATAAATCACAGAGAGCCATGAAGTGTCTTAGTGTGATACTTTACACCTTGCAGTAACATCGCCAAAAACGGAATCCACAGTTCCTGCCTGGAGACGGGTTACAATTCCAATGAAT